TATTTGGGGGGGGGGGGGGGGGGGAGGGGCATGTAGAGTAGATGGTGGTGGTGATGGAGGGTGGTGATGGTGATGATGGTGGTGATGGTGGTGGTGATGGTGGTGGTGATGATGGTGGTGATGGTGATGGTGATGATGGTGGTGGTGATGGTGATGGAGGGTGGTGATGGTGATGATGGTGGTGATGATGGTGATGGAGGGTGGTGATGGTGATGGAGGGTGGTGATGATGGTGATGATGGTGAGGTGATGGAGGGTGACTCATGAGTGGCATCACCTGCCATGGGTGGGGTGGACATCTAGTCGATGAGGAGTTCCGTATGGTCACCTGTGGCTCGGTCATCAAGCTCCGCCATGCCTCTACCGGCTACCGGTTGCACTCGCACGACATCCCGTACGTCTTAACGTTGGTCGGGGCCATGGATCTAGGGAGAAAGGAAAGGGGATCTGATGATGTGTAGTGAAGGTGGCGAGTGATGGAGATGGTGCGCGATGCGGGTGCTAGTGATGGAGATGGCGCGCGATGCGGGTGGCGAGTGATGGGATGGGCTAGTTCTCACGATGGGCGGCGGTGGCTGTAGGTACGGTTCGGGCTCGCAGCAGCAATCTGTGACGGCGCATCCCGCGGCGGATGATACCAACTCGCTGTGGACGGTCAAGGCAGGGTTCGGGTACCCGGCGTGCAAGCATGGCGATGTCATCAAGAGCGGTGACGTGATTCGGCTGCAGCATGTCAACACCAAGAAGTACTTGCACTCGCACCTGCACCGCTCACCGCTGTCGCAGAACCAGGAGGTCTCGGCGTACGGCTCGTCAGACCAGTCGGACTCGGGCGACAATTGGATCGTCGAGGGCGCGGCCAAGTGGCTTCGTGGCGCAAAGCTGCGGCTGAAGCACAAGGACACCGGGGCGTACCTGCACTCGCACCGCAAGGCGTATCAGAACCCGATCCCAGGTCAGCTGGAGGTCTGCGGCGTGCCGAGCAAGAACTCACAGAACTTCTGGCACTCGGAGGAGGGCATCTACTTTGCCATCAATGAGTCGTAGATAAAGGTCGACGACGTTTAGGGGGTGATGCCGTTAGACTCGCATTGCCGGCTGCTGCGGCTCGGCCAGTGCCGGTGACCACGGCGTGGAGCCGGCGGCCGGCGAGCGTGGCGAGTGAGCGACCGAGGCATAGGCGACGGCCGGCGAGGCGTCAGCGGCGGTCGGCCGTCGCCCGAGCTGGCGCGGCGCGGCGGGTGCGGCCATCGGGACGCCGTCGCCGCTGCCGTCGGACACATACTCGTAGGCGTAGGCGGACTCGTCGAGATCAGATGAACGCGGGCGGGAGCGTGAGAGAGCGCGGGCGCGCGAGCGTGAGCGTGAGCGTGAGCGGACGCGTGCAGAGTGCGGGCGGGAGCGCGGGGCGCGGAAGCGTGAAGGCCTCAGCTCAGCCGGGCGCAGGTGTGGGCTGTCAACGTCGAGCGAGGCCGAGGAGCAGCGGGTGCGCTCGATGGCAGTGTGGTCAGAGACGTTGTGGAGGACCCCGTCCGAGTGTTGGGTGCGGATTAGCTTGGTGGCAATGTCGAGGCCGACGACCGAGTTGATGACCGAGGCGAGGGCCGGCTGGCGATCGAGGAAGGGGATGAGCAGCTCGCGAGGCCAGATGATGAATGTGCAGTCGGTGGCGGCGATGATGTCGACGAGAAAGGCCGGGTGGTTCTCGCGCTGCATCCACTCGGGCGAGTCGAGGAACTCGAACGGGCGCGTCCGGTTGATCAGCTTGCGCTCGCCCGAGGACAGGGTTTTGAACACCTGCATCTCACCGTCGATGAGGATAGTGAGATCGGAGGGGGTGTTGCCGGCAAGGGCAAAGGCCGAGCCGGGCGTCAGCGTCCGCACAAAGGCCTTGTCCTTGACAAGGGTGAGAAAGTCGACGCGCGAGATGCCGGCGCCGCCGGGGCCAAACACATTGGTGTACACGGCCTCGAGATGGTCCGAGTCAAACGAGATGGGCCGGCGGAGGTAGAGCAGATAAGCGAGATGACCCAGATTGAGGACCAAATACATCATGTTGTATATCACCGTGTCAACGGCCACATCGAGGATGAGCCATGCCCAGAGGACCCAGAAGACCGATGAGGCAGCGAGAATGCAGCGCAAGACGAAGATGTTGGGCGAGGCATACGAGGCGAGGAGCAAGATGTTGGCGATCTGGAAGAGGACATGGTTCGGCGGCAGAGCTTGTCCCATATTCTGCACCCCCTTGATGTATACCCCCGCAGTGGCCGGTGTTGGCGAGGGCCTGAGCGAGAGTGAAGTGTTGCTTGCGCAGGGAGTGGGGCTGCCACTGTGGTCGGGCGGCGTGATGGATGGAGTTGATCACGTGGTGGTGGAGGCGGGGGGAGGCGGGGGGAGGGGGGTGGTGGTGGTGGTGGTGGGCGGTCGGGGTGGGGGTGATCGCGGGGTGATCGGGCTGTATGTGCGTGCTTGTACATGTGTGCGAGGGTATGGATATTTCAGCGTACATGCGCATGTCTGATGCGTGTCATCATGTGCTGACTGCGATGGGCATCGGACGGGCAGCGGTCACAAACACAGACACACACACTCTCTCCGTATTGTGTGTTTGATGACATGCACAAGCTACCGCGGTGATGTCGGCTCCCACCACTTGGTCGAGGCCGAGGACTCGGTCGAGGCGGCACGGATCGAGGTGGAGGAGATGTCGACGCGAAAGCGCGAGTCTGGGACGCGGACAACCTCGAGGTTCATGCCGTGGCGTTCGAGCTCGAGGAGGGCGGGATAGAGGTCGGCGCGGACAGACTCTGCAGAGAGGAACTGCCGCCGCCGCTCACAGTAGCGACCGGCCACGATGAAGGCGACCCTGGCTTCGGCGAGGGCGCGGAGGACGCCAAAGAGAGCGTCGGGCGTGCCGTAGTACCCGATGTCCATCATGCGGACAAAGGTGTCGATGCCGAGGACAAAGGCAACGTTGCGGCCGTCCAGGAGGGCGGCCTTTTGGTCAAAGAGCGGAGCGGCGGTGAGAATGACCGAGGTGCGGCCCTGGATCCGGGCCATGCGGTACATGATGTCGTCGTAGGTGACGAGGCCCTTGTCCGGGTTTAGGAGCGAGATCTCGTAGGCCGGCCACAGCCGATGCGGCGACATTTCGAGCGTCTCGGCACGGACCTGGGTCGCGGTCTCCAGCAGCAGCCGGTGGCCGTGATGCAGCGGGTTGAACGAGCCACACAGCACCACGCCCGGCCCTGGCAGCTCGGTCTCGGGCTGAATGATCTCTGCGGTGAGATCCGGCGTGATGTGGAGGGCCTTGCCCTCAGGCCTGGCCACAAATGAGGCCACTGCTCGCGCGACTTTGGGCACATGGAGCGAGAGTAGCGCATCCGGAGGAATGACCGTACGCAGTGGCGAGGTTCCCTCCGGGAGCGGAGCTGCGCCGACGGCCGCCGCCCAGTGGGTGTAGATGAGCGGCATGGCCTCGTCGGCCTCCCAATGCGGCCACTCCTTCGACGAGACCGACATCACACCCTCGTACACCACCCCGCGACTCTGCTCAGTGCCTCCGCCCAGCACATCCTTGCCCCTGTCAGCCACTTTGAGGGTGAGCTTGGCCAGCCGAGACGACTGGCGCGGGTCGACATGCAGCTCGCCGTGGCGGGTCATGAAGGCCAGCGTGGACATGTTCCTCTTCCGCGGACCGAACCTCACGCTCGAGGTAGCCAAGGCCATGTCACTCCTTGCAGACCGCCCCCTTTGTTGCCACCCTGCTTCTGTGGCAGCCACACACCCCGCCGCGGTCGCCACCCAGCCGAGGCGGTCGCCAGTTGCCTGCCGAACGCTGGCCGCCGTCGCAGCCACGGCGGAGAGACCAAGTCGAGCCAGCATGAGCCACCAGGAGCGGTAGCGGAGCGAGGCGGGGGCGAGGGAGGGGGAGGGATGATCTGAGGTGGGAGATGGTTATGTCAGGTCCGGGAAAGAGGGGAGGAGGGAGGGAGAGAAAGTCGTGGTACGGAGGAGAAGGTTCGGAACTTGAGCCGCGTCACGTGTTCGTTCTCGACACGGCCAAGGTGGTGGGAGTGTGAGCGGAGGCAGGGGAGTGGGTCTGGCGACAGCTAATGTGGCGGGTGACCCAGACCGTGCCAAGGAACAAATTTGCTGGCTGGAGGGCCAGTCCGCACCCAGATGAGCAAGGGTGGCGTCTGGGGGAAAGCTCTGTATGACTAGGGAGACACCGAGGCTGAGGAGGGCACAAAGTGTTGCTTGCGGTGTACGAGCGGGTGCTGGCAGGTGTAACACGCCCAGCAGTGGCGGAGACGTGGAGGGGGGGGAGCGGCGGAACAGGGCAAGTCGGTCAACGCATCAAAGATTCGGGTCGACTTCACTCCTCCGCGCAGAGCCTTCGGCACTTGCGCGGGGCCCACACCCATCCGGAGCGAGGAGCGCGGGGCGGGCAGCGGGTTGTTACGACAAGCTAGCAGTGCGAGAGGTCGTGCAGGAAGCAGCGGATGGCCTTCTCGTCGTTCTCGACCGCGGAACGGACGACCATCTCGACAAAGTTTGCGAGCGGGATGCGGACTGCGGCGTGGAAGGCCTTGAGCTCGGCGATACCGGCCTTGCCGGCGAGGTCTGTGTCGTACGGCGCGCCCTCGAGGTGCGAGGCAAAGGCGGAGCGGACGCGATCGGCGGCAGCGACATATGCGTCGTGCATGGCGTCGGCGAGGATGTCGGAGCGCGGGGTGGGCTGGCCGCAGTATCCGCCGTTGTGCCATTTGCGGCGGCACTGGTCGCGCGACATCTCGGAGAGGATGGACTCGCAGTAGCGGCGTGGCGGAGTGTCGTACGTGTTGTCGGCAGCCGAGGCGGTGATGAGCAGCGGCGCGGCCTCGGCCGTGGTCATGGTTGCGATCTCGTCGGTCTCGGGATTGTAGTGGAAGAGGACGCCGGACTCGGGGTCTTCCAGGACCGACCAGCCCTCAGACTCGGGGTACTCAGCCGATGGCTCGAGGACCGACGCCGGGCCGGGTGGCGGAGGAAGCGCGGCGGCAGCTGGGCCGACAATCGCCGGCCGAAGGTTGCCGTCGGCGTCCAGGAGCCGCGGGTCCTGGACCAAGTGAAAGTAGCTCGGGTTGGTCACCCCGCCACCGGCAGCCAGCGTCGGCTCGTGTTCGAGGAGACCCTTGTAGCGGAAGGCGTGCAGCTTGCGGACAAGATCGAGAGCCGGGCCCGGCGAGCCGAGGACGCGCTCGAGCATGATTGAGATATACATGCGGGCGTTGAGAGCGGCGGCCGGCGCGCCACGGACCGCACGGCGGTACCAGGGAATGGTCAGGTTGGCCAAGGCGTCGTAGAGCTGAGCACGCGGGCCGGCGAGGCTCATCTGCGCCACCACCAGCCGCGGGCTCGCCTGGAACCGCATCACGCCCCATGACGGCGGAACGTAGAGTGCGGTCGACGATGCGTCGAGTGAGACGAGCGCGAGCCGCGACGTCGGGTAGCCGGCGTCGGCAGCGACGGCAGCAAGCGCGGCGACAGTGCACGACGCCGCGCCGACGTCGACGCACGACGCGTCGAGGAGGGTCCGCGGATAGCCCGGATGTAGGTACGGGTATTGTGGGAGTCGCTCCATCAGGCGCGGCGGGATGAGGAGGTAGCTTGCGTTGCCGGAAAGGACGTTGTGGTACTCGCCGGCCTGGGCCACCGCAAGCTGCGACCACTGCGGGGCAGGCACGCCGACGGCGCTCAAATCGACATGCAGCTTGTGCGCGCCGCCGAAACCGCCGAGCGGCGCAATGCCGAGCGGTTTCCATCCGGCGGCCGATCCGCGGCCGGAGAGGCGGAGCTCGGTCCGTTCGCGGCTTCCGCCGAGCGAGACCGAGGCAAGCGCGGCGGCGGCGTCGGTTGGCGCAAGCCGCTCGCCGCGAAGGCCTGTGGCGTAGGCCTCAGCCAGCGGCTCGACTCGCATCAACGCCGGCGGCACACCGAGCCTCAGCGAAGCAGGCGCATCCCATCCGCGCCATCCAGCCGCCAGCAAGTCGCCGGCGGCGGCGGCATCAACTGCGGTGGCAAGCGCGTCAGGATCGAGGTACTTGCGGGCGGGCCATCGGGCGGCCAGCGAGTCGGTGATGATGAACGGGAGACGCATGTCGGCTCCGGTCGGCGCTGTCCGCCTGTGTTGTGGCACGCTCGCAGCCGGAAGGTCGGTATTCGGCGCCGCAGTTGCAAAGACGGCGGTGAGGTCATTGACGGCGGCGGCAGCAGCCGAGTCGGTCAGCGGCGGAGCAGCTGCAAATGGCAGCGCCTCCCAGCGAGAGATGGTCGGCGGGCGAGGACGCAGGCGGGCAGCGCGAGAGGCAGTGTGCTCGGTGTAGGCATAGGCAAGGGCAAGTGCCATAATGGCTGCTGCCAGGGCGAGGACCTTGCTCGACGACGACATGGAGGGTGGAGGAGTGACACGTGAAATTCGTGAAGGCAGCCGAGTCGAGCAGCGCGCGAGAGAGGAATGGCAGAGCGCGTGAAAGGTGATGGGCAAGAGCAACGAGGGAGGGGCGAGGAATCGGGTTGGAATTTGTTTTGCGGAGAGGGAGGGGGGAAGGGGGGGGCGGGTGAGACGGGTCAGGACGTCTTCTCGCCAACAAAGGTGAAGCCTTGGAAGGTGTGGAGGCCCTTGCCCGGCGCGACCGAGACGCAGTTTGTGTCGTCTGCGGTGAGCGACCTGTTGACAAACTCTGGGTCGATGTTGGAGAGATCCTCGGCCGAGGTGACGACGGGGACAAACTCGGGAGTGAGCTGCTTGGCAAGGACGGCGTCGATGTCGAGGCCGGCAAAGAAGGGATGGGCGAGGACGTCGGCGACGTCGTTCTTGCCAGATCCAAGGCGGTGGGCGGGCGAGACGTCGAGGATGCAGTAAAGGAAGTCTTGGGTGGCGTCCGAGACATGGAAGGGGACGGTGACGTCTGCACGCTTGGCGCGGGCGATGCGCTCAAAAATGACATCGTTGGTGTCCGAGGCGTCGAGCATAAAAGGCGGGCGGCCGACGAGCATCTCAAACATGAGGATGCCGAGGCACCACCAGTCGACGGAGCGACCGTACATGCCACCGGCGATGATTTCGGGCGCCATGTAGTTGGGCGTGCCGCAGAACGACGAAGTGCGGCCCGAGCCGGCGTCCGAGGTCTGCTTGGAAATGCCAAAGTCGGTGAGGCGGATGTAGCCCGAGGCGTCGAGGAGCACGTTCTCGGGCTTGAGGTCGCGGTAGAGGACGCCGAGTGAGTGAAGGTGGCCGATGGCGAGCGCCATCTGGGCCACGTAGAACTGGACCCGTGACTCTGAGAACGCGCCCTCCTCGTTGAGCCAGTAAAAGAGCTCACCGCCGTTGATAAAGTCGAGGACAAGGTACAGCTTTTCCTTCGACTGGAAGGCGTGGTGGAGGCGGACGATGAACGGGTGGTCGACGCGGGCAAGCACGTTGCGCTCCGTTTTCTGGGTTTCAACCAGGTGCTTGTTCGACCGCAGCCGTGACTTGGGCACGACCTTCATGGCAAAGAACGCACCGGTCGAGCGCTTGCGGACGAGAATGACCTTGGCAAACGCACCCATGCCGATGATCTTGATTGTCTCGTACTCTTGCATGGCCGAGCGACCGGACTTGCCGCCGGGACGGCCACCGGGGCCGAGCGCCCCAGCGGCAGCGGCCGCTGGGGCCGAGTCGGCGGCCGACACCGCATCCGACGACGGGGTCGGAGCAGAGCCACCGGGGCGGCCGCCGGGGCCAAGCCTAGCGGCGTCAGAGGCAGCGGGAGCGGCAACAGGCACGGTTGTGCTGCTGTTGTCGTCATTGTTGTTGTCATTGTTGTTGTCATTGTTGTCGTCGTCGTTGTCGTCGTCGGAAAACTGCGAGACGCCCGGCGGGAGGTCTGGCGGCGGCGGGAGGAGCGCCGACGAGAGGGTGGACGAGAGAATGACCGAACCGGCAAACGGATCGTCTGTGCGGGAGACAGACGGTGAAGCAGCAGCCGAGGACTTGATGTTGGTGGCCTCGACAATGGCGACCGAGTCGATGTCCTCGGGCAGCCGATCAAGCGAGTCGCCCGAGAGCCTGCCCTTGCCCTTGATGATATAGTCGATGGTCTCCATCCATGCATCGCGATCATTCTCGGTCGGGGCCTCCATGTAGTAGTCGACTCCTCTGGCAGTAGTCACACAAAACACATTGTGCTTCTTGAACCGCTTGGATGGGACCTTGCAGAGCTTGCCATCAGCGAGCGGAATCCGTCCCTTGGCCTTGTTCCGATTCCACTTGTGCGCCGCCGATGCAAAGTACAGAATCTCCTCAGACTCGATGTATAGCTGGAAGAACCTTGTCCGCCAGTTCTTCCTCAGATGACCTCTCTTTCGCATGAACCTGTCGCAACTCCAATGAGTATGGGTAGGTGGGTGGGTGGGGTGGGTGGGTAGGGGGGAGGAGGAGGAGGAGGAGAAGGAGGACAGGCGTACCCTTTAGTGATGAGGTTGTCCGGAAGGACCACCTGTGAAGAGCTCTGTGCGTGTATGGGGAGGATGAGATGTAAGAGGGAGGGGGATGAGGAGGGTGTCATGAGTGTGGGTCAGGAAGGGAAGGGGGGGGGGGCATGCGTGGTTGACTGTGTGACCAATGTCATGCCGACAGAGTGGGGAGGGGAGGGGGGGGGCGGGAAGGGGGAGGGAAGGGAGGGAGATGTTTGATACAGTGTGTAAAAGTATATATCTACATGAGGGTATATGTGTACGTGTGTGTACGTGTGTGTGTGTGTGTGTGTGTGTGTGTGTGTGTGTGGTGGGTGGGCA